ACCTCTGCTTTGGGAATCTCTGTGTAAGACCTTCTTGCTATCAAGTGGAAACTGAAAACAAAACCATAGTTACACTTTTTGGGTGTTGCTGTTATGCTGTTTTTCTTCCAGTGAGGATACTTAAAAACAGTCTTTCCACTAGTCAAAACCTGTGGCCTGATTTGGGTTACATGCAGGAGGCAGCTTATAGAAAGACTTGATTTGCCTTTTTTCTTTTCTTTTTTTTTTTTCCCCCTCTTTCTGCTTTACCTATCAGATCTTAAAACCATTTGGGAGGTGGAATAACCAATATCTGAGTTAAAACCTTTAGGAAGGTGGAATAACCGATATCTGAGTAGACAATTATCAGCAGTAGTCCATCAAAAAACCCCAGAACCATGAACAGAAAGACCCACTTTGGTACTTTCTCAGACTCGCCCACAAGTTAGAATAAATGCAGTTTCCACATCTTCGCAATGCTTGTATGAAAAGAAGCTGAACATGTGTTGGCAAGTAATTTCTGCTGGACTTCAGGGCAAGAGGTCTTTTCAGACAAGCTAAGACCAACTGTGAAACAAAACCTAAGTGAAAAAGGGTTAAAGAATTGGATTACTGTTCTTCTGGATAATGGCAGGAGTTACCCTGTATTCTTTTTTCTGCTGAACAAGAACTCAGAGGAGTAGGCAGAGGAGGCAGGAAGAAAATGGAAGTGGTTACGTTACAATGCCAAAAGTGGTGCTTCACAGCAGACAGAAATACACAAACAACCTGCCTCAGAGATCTTACAGGTTAAATAGACATGATACAGTGTGTGAAGGAAAGCATAAGGACAGAGGAACAGAGATGTTCTCATGCAACTACTTGGTTTAATGCACAAGCGTGCACTAATAGCTCTGTTTGCCCCTTAACGTACTTAGAAGAATGCCAATCAAGATCATTGGAGGTAGGGTTAAAGGGAAAATGTTCAGAAAAGCATTATTTCTAGGAATTCTGTTCTGCAGGGACTAATAAAACTCTTGAACAAACATTACAGGATAACCTCAAGCTGAGATATGAAGGAGTCTCAGGTTATGACCTAAGTGGAGCGAGCCAGCTGAGATGTAACTTTTCTAACAAAATGAGCCTTGCTGTGCTGGAGTTGGATTGCTGCAGAAGACCTAGAGGTCCCAAAGCTGTATAAGAGTGAACATGAAGTCTGATGCCTTCTTACTCAAGAAGCGACTGGTGTGGAAACAGCAGAATGACAGAGAGGAAGAGCCTTTTATTTTCCACAGTAGTTTGTTGCAGCACTGTGAGAAAACTTTGGACCAAAATTTTGAAACTCACTTCTTTTAATCTACAAAGAAAATGTGGCAAGGATGACAGAAAATATACAAATAAGATATAACTACTTTTGGGCAGTATTAGATAAAAATTCCCATTATTTAGATGGGTAAGCTCAGACATAGAGGTGAAAAATAATTTGCCTAAGATTAAACGGAAGTCAGAAGTAGACCTGGAAATAGAAAGCAGGAGCAAAACCTGCTGTGACTCCTGGGGGAGCATGTTTATAAAAAAATTAGCTTAAGATACTTTAGTAGTGGAGGTTACTTTTTATTTTCATCCTTTTTTTTTTTTTTTTTTTAAGTGAATCACAGGTTTAAGGCTATGCAACTCCAAATTAAGGACCGATGCACACTTTGATAAAAACAGCAGGCAACCTATGAGACTCTCCAAATGTCTGAATTTTAAATCTCCCATCGCACCATTAAGGAGCATTTGAGTGGCTGCCACTGAGAAGACGCAGTCACAGTAACTTCAGAAGTGTTAGTAACCACATAGGCATCAAACCTTTGGGAAGCTCTTTATCAGTGAGGTGGAAATAGAAACACATTTGGTGGCCTCAATCATTCGCTTTAGGGCACAGCAAGGAGCTGAGAGGGAGCACACAGTGTCTCCTCCTGGGGACCGCCTGCAGTGACGTCAGGGCCTTGAGATACTTAGAGATCTCAGCTCCATTAGTTGGATCATCTTTCATTATCTATTTTTCATGAGACACATGCAGTAGCTCTAGAGAATTCAGAATTCATCCACCTAGGCACTCAGCCTGCAGGATCAGGCTCTTGCTAGCACTAAGGTCTTCAAAGACATGAGCCCAATTTGTTTAGCCAGCCCAGGGGACTACACATCACATGCACTTGCCACAATTGTTCTCTTGTTAGAGTGGATTTAGGGATGCCCAGGGACTGATAACATCCACTACCTCCCGCAATGCACAGACAGGGCAGACCCTACCACAGAGGAAGTGCATGATCTGCCCCCAGAGCCAACAGGAGAAGGTTAGCAGCCTTCTCAGTTGACACTCCTGGGCTTCTCTCCTGGGACTTCCACCAACAGGGTCAATCAATCCTAAATGACAGGTTGGGTTTGTGATGTGAATATGCATATATGTAAGAGCTCCACATACTGTTAGCAATGGCCAAAGACACGCATTCCCCTCAACTGTAAGCCATATTTCACCCCAAACACCCTGACCAGATGCATGCTGTAAGTATTGGAGACAAAGCTGCACCTACCCAGCTTTGACTATGTTGAGACTCCTGCTTGAGGCTGCCGTTCCTGAGCTCCGCTCTCTTGGAATGAGCTCATTTGAATCCACCAAGGTTCAAGGTTTCAAAAAGATGAATTTGCCTTTGCCTGCTGTTAATTTGAGCTAAGACAAACTATTGTGGTGGCCAAAACTATATTTTTATTCTAGCAGATGAGTAAACTGGGGTATTGCATGGAAAATGGGTCTTTCCTATCTGAATGGAGATATCTGCTGAACATACAATGTTTTCCCAGCAGGTCCATGAAGAATTATGACCTAGAGTGACAGCAATCAAACTAATTTCATTTGCAGCTAAATAAGATTTAGGTGTGGCTTTCCTGACATAGAACTTGTGTTTCAGAGAAACTTCACTCTTGCTTAGTGATAATACTGCAGTTTAAAATAACACCAGATGACAATGATGCCTGTTCCTGGTCACATCAAATACTGCTGTGCACAAAATCAAATCAGCCCTTTTTACTGTAGCTCATGTCATGCTGATGTTTTGTGACTTTTTTTTTTTTTTTCCCCAGGAGAGTGCATGTAAGTAACAAGAGGAAAAGAGAAATAAACATTTAATTCTCAGGAAGGACACACAGCACAGGTGAAACTTGAAGGAAAACAGACCTAAATCCTGTTTTGAAATTACTGAACAAATCAGTAGCAGCATTAAACTTGTATATATATTAACATTTTGAGAATAACCTCATTCTGACCCCTAGCCCTCAAAATACCCTTTTTTCAGTTTGCCTTTTTACAGCTACATAGCTCCCACGCATAATTGAACAGATTGCCCTGCTAGCTCCCATGTACAGCTTAATGCTCACAATCCTCTCCCCTTTCAGTGCTTCCTGACATTCAGGGGAACATTATCTCCTCTGATCCTAAAAAGGGAATTCCCTACAGCTAGGAGAAGGGCAGATAGTCCCTAAAGGCCCTGGGGGCACCAGCTCTGCCACTTCAGCCTGCAGCTGGCTGCCTGCCTGGGTTGCAGCCTGGTGACCTCCTGTGAAACCCTGGACTCTGTTGCTGGAGACACAGGGAGCAGAGGGTTAGATAATTCTGCCTTGAGCCTTGTGGGGTTTTCACTTCTCATCTATTTTTAGCTGACCGAACAGCTGGCCTTGGAAGCCTGTTTACAGCCTGGAAAGCTTCTTTTTGCTAAATTGTACTAGGTGTAAGAGCCCTGAGAAAGCCTTAACCCTTTGAGAGCCAGCCCTGAGGCTGGCACTCTTGTCTCCCATTGACTGCCTGAGATGAATTTATACAAGCAGAATTACAGCATGAGGAACCACAGATTCATTCACTTCAGCTGTATTTATTACATCTTTGTGCATCTACAGCCAATCCCTAGTCCAACAGGAAAGACCACGTGATATATAACCCAGGTTACTTGTATTATACAGCTGTGTGGACTGTAATACACAAAAGATACTCTTTAATATCTGATAGGAGATAAGCTTTGATCTCACTTATGACCAATACAGAAAACATTTTCCTGCACCTATTATATCAGTTTCTGTTCCACACAAGTATTTATTAAAATTGCTGTGTGCAAAGGACCTTATCCTGGCACCACAGGGTCTATAAATCCTGCACAAACTGTTTGCTCGTTCACCGTGTTCTGCGAGGATTGCGCCTTCTAGCCTGGACTGGGGACAGTGGATGGCCTGGAAAACAAGACCAACTTGATTTATTGATGGATATAGCTTGCTTTCTTGCCTTGTTGCTGGTTAGATTTGGTTCGTTAATGCACATATTGCTACAAACAAAACTCTTCCTTTTTGTCGTTTTCCTCTTGTGGTCTCCAGGAAGTCTCTCATGTTTTCCCAGGCTGCTCTCTCTTCAGTCTTTCTCAACATGTAAATACCTTTTCCCATGCAGACCTTCATACATATGGAAAACAGACATATGGGCAGCCATCTTCCAGGCTTTTATGTTGTCACAAGTACCCTGTTGTTCTGGTGCCCCGTAACACTTAGCTCCCACACTGTAATCGAGCTGACTTTGCTCAGCTATCTTAACCTTGACATGAAAACACTTCCTATTTCTTGTCCAGCTTGCTTTCCCAGACATTAGGCAATGTGTCTCTCTCTCGACCTTTATCTGCTCTGGCAAAAGCTGTATTTCCTTTCCCTTCCCCCTGTGTTCATACTGATCACTATTGGGAACACTACACAGATCCCTCTCTTCTCACTCTGATCATAGAAAATGACTACTAAGTGTCCATTAAAAGCTGTGCTTCCATTGCTCTTGATGCTGTTCTACAACTGCTCCTATACTGAATATAGAGAATAACTCACATGAAGTTCTGCCACTGGTTCTGTAGCTGAGACACAAAACTGGTCTGATCATGGAGACTCGGGAGTTTACGTTCTGGGACCCAACTCTGCAAATGTGAATGGACTATGTCGTGTGACAGGGATTCCTACTCTCTTTTCTCCCACCCTAGGATCACTTTCAGAAGTTCATCCCATCAGGACGGCATTATGGGGGAGATGCTCATGGCTATGCCCACGGCCGGATGGTAGGAGGAGTGACAGCTGGGCAGCATGGCTCCAGTAAGCAGCAGTATCCCGCTGTTCCTCCTAGGCCTGGAAGCAAAGGAGGCCCTAAGGACAGTGAAGGGGAGCATGCAGGGGAATCGGCTCGAAGCGGTGAAGGAGGCGATGGTACTGATAAAGGCAAGTATCTCTCTGCAAGAACGAGAAACAGCTAAAGCTATCAGAGCTCATGCCAACCTTACTCTTAGGGGCAAGTAAATTAATTTGACTAAATTAATTTGACTAAACTAATTCTTCCCAACTAAGTTCCATTATGAAGTCTAGAAAAGTTGAACTGCCTTTAGCTTGATAGTCTTGTTTGCATGCTTCTGTGTTGCTCAATCACAGGCAAGAAGCAGAAATACCTTCCTTGGCTGGACCAAAGAAATGATGGGAAACGTAACTACTGAGCTCCTAAGGTTGATACAGCAGTATGCCAGTATGACATACCCTTTCCTTTCAAGGGTTTCACACTGACCACTACTGGAGACAGTGGCATTAGCTCTTTAGCTCAGTAGTCTAACCTGATACATCAGTCTTGAGTATATCAGCCCTGATTTCAAATCAAGGCTTCCACCTAAATGAACAACACTTTTTAGATAATCTTCAGAAAGGAAAAGCAATATTTCTAAAAGTTATCTGCTAATCACCACTGGTCTACTGAAGCAATATCTTCACAAGTAAAAGTAGTTTTCATTGAACTTAGTCTTTGCTTAATTTTATCCTCTGTTTAGTTTGGCCAGAAGCCACTAGAACCAAATACCTTGTATGAGAATCAGCAGGTGAAATCGTTATTTTAACAGTCTCTATGGGATTTTACAACAAAAAGCAAATTTGCTCCGGAATCAGGAACCACTGTCATTACTGACCAAATGATTGACTTGTAAGATCCAAGGTTTTTCATTTACATTCTAGAAGAATGTGCATTTTATAACAAAATCAGCTTTTACATTTCTGGGCATCCCGGTGAAAAAGAAGACTCTCTGCCTTCTTATAGGAGATTTTTCTCCATTGTTATCCTATTTTTGTGTGCAGGGAGAAGAAGGATTAATATCATCCCATAGCTTTTACTGCAGAGATGCATCCCAACTGCTTTTATTTTTCAACCCTAACAATCAATTCATTTCTAAACTACTTAGTTTAAGTCCTTCACACAGAAAGAGAGGGGTAGTGGGTTTTTTTTAATGAAAATAAGATTCTTGTACATATCTGCAATTCTCTGAAACCAGGAAAGCCCAGGATTTGGCAAGGTTTGAAGAAAATAAGCAAGACAAAGAAAGAAGGTGTGATAAAGAAGAAAGTTTCAGATAACAGTAATAACGTTGATTCTTTCCCACTTCATAAGGATTTATGTTTTCTACACAAACTGTAGCACCACGAAAGCACCAGAATGTTTAACTCCATTAATCTATTATTCCCATCCGTCCTAATCAAGCTAAGCAAAAGTCATTGCTTAGGAATTTTAAGGTTTATGAAGGATGAGAATCTTAAAAGTGTGCTACAACATCAGTACACAACCAATGCTCTTATTAGCAAGGTGGTATTATACACAACTGGAAAAATAAAAGAAAAAAAAAAAAAAAAGAGGCACACAGAATGAAAACCCTTGTCTAAGCTCATTTGCTTAATGGAGCAGGCAGAAGTCAACCTAAAATTTCTGGCAATCAAGTATCTGACTTAACAGCAAAGTGCAGCTCTGTCATTGACAGGATTTTAACTTCCAGAGAGATATCCAATCATATTTTCAAACTGTTTTTAGCCATCCTGAGGTGTTTGAGCAAGTCTTTGTCTCTAGCATCCTGGTTCAGAAGGGGGAAAATATGAATGTCTGTTCATGTAATCACAAAGAAAATGCGAATTTATAGAAACAGTGAGACAAGGGAGATGGCAACTTTAGAACATTCAAGAATAGACTACTGCGGAAGACGTTAGTAAAGATGGTTGTGAGTTGCCAAGATCCTGAAATACAATGATTAAAGGGTTTTGGTCAGTTAGAACCAACTTCAAAGTTTGTTCCTAGTTTTGGAGTTTACAGTCAGGACTTTGTTTGTTGCATCTGATGATGATGGTGAGGTTTATGAGGAGGGGTTATGTCTGCTATGATCAGGCAGAGAAGAGAGAAGTCAATTATGAAATTAGATAGCATTTTGCCTTGTATAAAGCTTCCCTTGAGGTAGTGAAAGAGATGATTGGGTAAGGACATTGGTTCTTGGAGTAAGAGGTTTCTATTTGAGCAATCAGAGAGAAGAATGAAAACTTAGCTTTCAAATATATGTTCTAATGCAAATTCCTGGATGAGTGGCTCGTAGGCTGTGGTACACCTGCTTTTGTGGATAAGGACAGAAGGGGCATATGACAGCCTTTTTAAAGAGAAATCTAACCATAAAATCTCAGACTTGATCTACGAGTTACAGAATCTGGAAACAAAGCCGGTGTCTCAACTTCAATAGCAGAATACAGAAAGACAATGTATTTAGAGTAAGTGTCATCTAACTAGAGTGTTTTACCTTTCTCTGCTTACAGATGGAAAGTCAGGAGGCAAAAAAATCACTATATTTAAAACTTACATCTCCCCCTGGGAACGAGCAATGGGTATCAGCCCTGAGGACAAAAGTCAGTTCACCATTGACTTACTGTCATATAGTCCCAAAGCTGATTTCCCCCATTACAAGTCTTTTAACCGGTAAGTCTTCTTGGATATTCAGTTCAGTTTATTTAGCCTGAGAAAGCACAATAACCCTGGACAGAGCCCTCCTGTCTTGTGCAGTGTAATTAAGTTTTAGTTGCATGTCATTTTGCCTAGCATAGTCTCCTGTGGATGAGAAGTTTGGAAGCCTACAAAGAGAAGATAACATAAGGAGCTAGAGATTTTAATTCCACTTATGGACAGAGCACCTATGCAGCTGGATAAGAGGACTTTAATCCTATTTCCCTTTCTTTCTCACCCCATTTGACCAGGGAGATTTAGCTTGCCACTGTTTATTACTGCAGCCATTTAAAGTTCAAGACTTCAGGAAAAATACTTACAATCAGAAGCCACATACTACACAGTACTTCAGATAAGAACCAGGATCTTCCTGCTGCTTCTGATCAGAACTGAAAGTTTTACAAATATTTCTAGGGCAGCAACAATTTTCTGTTAACCTCTCTATATAATTTTGCCACCCATTTCATAGCTTCAAGACATCAGTACCCAGGACAAACGCAAATCCCACTCATTTCTGCAATAATGCAGTCTCTGCCTTCTACATGTATAGGGTACCAACAGGTGTGAAAGGTGTATGGTTTGATGGCGATTAATGCAGCAAGGGTGAAGGAAGTGCACAGGAGCAGAGGAGGGGGAGGTTCGTTTTTAAATCTTTTTTAGTACATAGGCAAGGGATACATATATCTTCTTGGGAAGGATTTGTTGGCCAGTCAACTGCAACAGTGGTAAAATTTACAATCTTGATAACTGATTATTTATTTTCTAAATCCCATTGTTTACCTATGCTCTGTTCGCTAACTCCATGTATTCCCCTGTGCCAGGACCGCCATGCCTTACGGGGGTTATGAGAAAGCAGCCAAACGGATGACCTTCAAAGTGCCTCAGTTTGATATTTGCCCTTTGCTTCCAGAATCTCTCATGATATATAATCAAAATTTCAGCAACAGACCCTCCTTCAACAGAACCCCAATACCTTGGATGCCTTCAGGAGACTCCTCTGAGTACCATACTGAGGTCAATGTGCCAAGGAGTGGTGAAACAGAAGAGCTGTAAATCCCCACCGCCAAGGCCTTTCTTTTTTCTCAGCCCTTTCTATTTGCAAGTTGATAGTAAGGAGCTGAAAAGTGCAACTCTGGTTCTGTCAGCCCTTCCTTTCTTTTGCCCTTAGCCCAGACAAGTTCCTAGCAGGTTCTAAACTTATCTTTGCTGTGGTGTTAATCCATATCAGAAACAGTTTGAGGGAGAGGAGCTTTGTATTCACCAGGGCATAAAAGGGCAAAACTAGCAACTGTTTCTCTGTTTAGCAATGCTAAATGCTGCCTGTCTGCTCCATAATAAATCTGTTTTGTCATATATTAACAAGTAATAAAACACCAAGAAGAAAAAAAGCCTTTGTGTTTTCTCTTTAAAAAATGCTGCTGAATCAATTTGGGGATTAGCAATAACAAAAGTTTCAGTCTCCCAACTAGACTGTTAGCATGAGAAGAAAGATCGAGGACTGATGAGGATGGCCGTAAGATAGGTATACATCAAGGTGGCTTGGATAAATACTGCAAAACTGATGGTAAAGAATGATGACTTTGAGAGGACATGATACAGGTAATTGTAACAGCATCAGAGATAAAATAGCAAGTCGGCCTGTCACTGCAACAGACAGATTGAAGTATTTCACTGTCACCTAAGATTCCCCAATTCTCCAGAGTACAAAATAGGTGATAGCTTAAGCAGGTTTTTTCTCACACAGAGCGACCAAGAAGGCAATAGGTCACACCCAAGTGAGACGACTTGTCCATAGTTACAGAGCAAGAAAGAAAAAGCTTCAATTACGACAAATAATTTGACACCCGTCATAGTGCATTACTTACTCAAATACACATTATTCCATTCCTTGTAACAGTTTTATTGATGCCACACATATAGGAAGAAAGGCAGGCACTGTGGAAAACCAATAAGGAACTTTATTTTTCTACTTGAAATGCCTTCTGTTTCATTAACACTTGCACTCTGACACGTAACACACAAGGCTGCTGTTTCCCTACCATACCCTCACTCAGCCTGCATGGAGACCAGTTTAGAATTCTCTGTCCTGGTGCCTTCTTTAGATCAACATTTCCTCTTATAAACAGGGCTAAGCAGCTTATTTACAGGGACAGATTCCATTGAAGTACTTTTAATTTAGTTTTTCCTTCTTGTCTAGAAATCCTTGCAACCATATATTTGGGTTTTATTCTGTTTGGATAGTTGTGAGGTTGGCTTTATAACACTCCTCTAAAAGGCTACTGCCAGGGCTACCCTGAAATCTCTTAAAAAGTGTGCTAATAATAACAAGCTGCAGAAGTAATGAATGAGTAGTTTCCTAACCTATCTGCTGAAACAGCTAGAGAACATTTAGTAGGACATATAATAAATGTCCTACTAAATGATTAAGAAGTATCCATAACCGTGACTAAAATTTAAAACATGAAGGTGGTACTTTGATCTTCTGAAGAACATTTCAACAAAAATGAAAAGGTTGTCTTTTTTGACATATTCCTGCAAAGTATTTGAAGTTTGAGTTGAAAACAAATCCTCAGAAAAACTTGGGGTTTTTCTTTGAATAAAATGGATCCAGAAATTAGTTGAAAACACATTTCCCACATTGATTTCATTTTTTAATGCCTACATAAATACATGCAAGTGTCACTGGTGAAAGACATTTAGATGGGAAATTCTCACATTCTACTAAACTATTAGTTTATTCCATATTTGATCTTTGTCTGGAGATAAGGTTGCTGTGGGTTTTCCAACATTTTTAATCAATCTAGCTTTTTCAATTGCATTGTAATTTAGAGGGAGGGATTTCTTTTCCAGTTTGAAAAGTATTCTAACAATATGACAAGGATTCAGGCTACAAAGAGAATGCTAGAAGTTGAGAAAGACAAAAGAAATTTCAGAGAAAACTAGGTGACATTAAGCAAAATATTTTCTCACCGAATATGCCATTTATTGCCTCCCCTTTTCTGACATGGATTTTAGACTCTTGTAATACAGAATTACATGATTTTTTAAAGTGAAATACATGATGCTTTCATGGTAAATACGTCGGGAGCAGCAAAACCAAGACAGTTTAGTACCTGGATGTCATGGTCTATTTTCAGTAGCAGGTGTTCCAAATCATGGGCCACTTAGACATGTCAAGGTGCAAAGGCTTGCTGCTCCGAGGAGGGGTGAGCCCCAGGAAAGCCCAGTGCAGGCAGTGCCCTCACCAACCAGCACACAAGCCCACCACATCTGAGCATGGCCAGCAGAGCTGATTGCTGGTGACAGGGTCCATCAATCATCCCAGACATGGTGAGGGGATGAATCAGGCACGAGGGCCATCCAGGGAGTTTGGTCAGGAGCAAAAGGAGATGGGACAACACTGTGGGTCCAAAGTCCATCTAGCAGACAGGCTAGCTCCACCACAGGTCTCAGGTCCACCCAGGAGACAAGAGCGTAGGCCAGGACCCCTACAACACAGCTCAGGCAAGGATCCCTGGCCCAGGACTAAACTGGTTTCTGGGCCATAAGTGGGGTGAAGGTCCCAGGTGAGGCTGGCCAGGGCAACTAAGGGTTGTTGGTGCACACAGGGCAATGATACCAAAATGTGTGCGAATTCCAATACAATCACAACAATCATTTGAGTTCACTGGAGCATAGAAAAAGAAGAAGACTAAAGAAAATAGGCCCTTAAACATGCAGGGAAAGGTAAGAAATACTGTGCATAAATAGCACAGTGCTCTCTGGTGGTGTACTTTCAAAGTTCTCGCATACAAGGAAGGCAGCATCATCCACCAAGTACATCAAAGGACTGGGTATATACACAAAGCCCTCTCTCGTTCATAATGTACAGTTGGACAGGAGTTTTTGCCTGTGCACTTCATTATCCCAAACCCTAAATGGGGATAAAAAGTTCCAATGTGCTTGGAATTAGTATTGTATCCCTGCACATTACTAGTAATATTGCTATAATTCATAGTTGTAAGCTAAGAGGATCCTTCAGTTTTAGTAAATTTGCTTAATGAAGCATACAGCTCTTCTTTTGCCAGTACACGTTCAATCTCAAATCCTGTCAAGGAGGATTTATGTGCTTTTGTTTCTAGTACAAAATGAGAAACACAACACTACATGTTGTAGAACAATTCAGACAACTATTATCTCGCTGTTTACATAGCTTAAGATACATGCTAGTTTAGTCATTATTCAAAGTAACGTTAAAAGTGAGAAAATCAGTAATCCAAATCCTGTCTCAAAAATAATTAATTTCAGTGAGGCTTGCAGCTACTCTAATCAGGGCAGAAGTTTGTCCAAAATGATCAAATATTTAAAAGGAAGTAAGTAACTGCTCCTGCTCTTTGTTTTCCTTGGGCTATGATGTAGACTCTGGGGAATCGCCTATGTCAGAGAATTATTTATATTGGGAATAAGAGGATTTTATAAGACTTAATTACAGTGGATTTCCCCTGCATACTAGGAGCTACAGAATGGAAACTCAGTCATCTGCTTTTAAGCAGGATCATCGTAGTTAGAGATAAAAAAGAACTAACAAATTATTGAGCCCATCCCCTTGTAAAGGCAGGCTACAGTTCCCTCATAGGGAATGTACTGGGTAGTAAGCTTATACTGTATGGTACAGCAGCCAAATATCCATTTAATAGAGAGGGGCTGACCCATGAAAAACAGATTGGATAGAATTTTGTGACATTCAGATCTTTCATCCAGAAAAAAAGTTCTTATATTTTAGTTATTTACAGAGTTATTTTTAGGAATATTATTTTACAGTTTCCAAGCTTTGAAATGTTTCTCTCATATAAGACAACTTGTACGATAAAGAATCCAAGCCACACTGAAAAGTCATAAAAAATAGTGCCCAAGTTTTAATGTAAAAGAAAGGCATTTAACAAAATCTCAGCAATACTATCCATAAATATGGACTCCTATGTTTTAAAATCTTGCCTGAAGTTATAGCTCGTGGCATAAATATTTGGCAGGTAGTAGCACAGTTGGTATGCTTCTCTGTGTTGCACAGAAAATCCTCCATTTGACTGCTATGTATTCCCTAATCAAAGGGTTTGCATCTTGTAATTGTCTCTCTCGTGAACAGCTTGCCATTAGCCATGATGATAATATAATTCATACAACTAACATCTGGGAATTATATTTGATGTTGTTATTGACAGAGCATTTAGAGGAGATGGCTTTGTCATTAGGCTTAGTGACTTTCTGAACAGTTTCAGGCTGTTAGAATAATATGGGCTTTGTGGTGTTTGACTTTTTTTAAAATCATACTGTGAATACATAAAATGTGTTCACTTCTTGTATATAAGATGGCAGGCACCAGACGGCCAAGAGCCTGAACACAATTGTTCTGTTACGGAGCAAAGAGGTCTGCATGTGGCCGTCCCCATGGGACACACTAACTTGTGGCATAAGGCTTGAACATTCACTGCACTGAGGTTTTTTCCCACCTAGCTTGTCTGCAAGTATATGTTCTCTTCCACAGAAGACTACCACACGTGCAATCATCCGGCAAATGCCCCACTTCCAAAGGACTGCCCCTTGGCATAACCAGCTGCTGTTAGCACTTCTCTGGCAATTTACACGGTCCACCCCTACCCATCAGCAGCATGTATGCTAATTTTTCTTGAATGAGTACTAGAAAAGTTTGCAAGCCAGCCTGCTACCTCACAGCACATTAATACATTTATATGCAATCTCATCTATGCCCAAATCCTCAAATTGCAGGTTACAAACTAGTTTAGACAGGTTGCCTATTCTGTCTTGGAGATGTGCCTGACCAGGACCACAGATAATCAAGCAGAATTTGCAGACACATGCAGAAGCAAGATTGCATACATTTTGTGGAACCCTACAACTTTTGTGAACTGCTGAGTATGTCAGATTTAAGACACTATTAATTATATTAATGGCATCAAATATCTACTAGTAAAAGTCTCTTCAGCTAATGTAATTAATTAGCAGTGCCTTTATGCTATACTTCTTGCTCCCTATGTATTTAACACACAGTAAGTGTCATCTTGAAGCCACTGAGGCGAAGGGCTCTGG